AAGCTGAAGACTGCCTGCCAGGGGCGGCTGCGGGATGCGTGGTCGATGGACAGTTCCTTTCGGGTTACCAGACGTTGGGAACAGAGGTCTCTGTGCCAGCTCACAGGAGCACCCCAGACACTGATCTGGAGGTTCAGAGGGTGGTGGGGGTGTTGGCGTCTCAGGATTATCATGTTCTGGCGGCCCAGAGGAAAGATGACCCGAGCCCTTTAAACCTTTGCCATCATGTCCCTGATCAGCAGGGGGAGGCAAAGGACACGCTGAGGAACACGGTGGAGAGGGCTGCTGCCGAGAAGAGCCAGCCCAGGAGTCCCTACCTAAGGTCCCCCGAAGAGCCGCTTAGACAAAGACAGCTGACCAAAGGAATGGTGATAGCCAACGGCAAGCCAGTCCTGGTTCCCGTTGGGTCTGAGCCCATCAGGTCTTCCGCTTCAGAAACCCTGGTGAGGCCGAGCCCCGAGGCGCAGACGCGAGGAGGCGTGCTGGAAAAGGACCTGGCCCAGCTGCAGCCGTCCAGCGCCTCGCACTTGCCCTCCCACTTCATGAAGGGAGCCATCATCCAGCTGGCTACAGGAGAGCTGAAGCGGGTGGAGGACCTGCAGACTCAAGACTTTGTCCGCAGCGCGGAGGTGAGCGGGGGCCTGAAGATCGACTCCAGCACCGTGGTGGATATTCAGGAAAGCCAGTGGCCTGGGCTTGTCACGCTGCATTTTGTGGTCGGGGAGCAACAGAGTAAAGTGAGCATTGATGTGCCCCCGGAGCATCCCTTCTTCGTGTACGGCCAGGGCTGGTCCTCCTGTAGCCCGGGGCGGACTGCTCAGCTCTTTGCTTTGCCCTGTCACAGGCTGCAAGTGGGCGACGTCTGCATATCAATCAGTTTACAGAGCATGAACAGCAGCTCTGCTTCTCAGGCTAACTCCCCTCTCACAGATCAGCCGATGCCGATGCCTACCAGGGAGAGATCAGAACGAACAGCTCAGGGGTCCAGAGAACCGTCTGACAGAGCTGCTGAAAGGAAGAGCCACACCGAGAGGGATGGCGCGGCCCAGAGCTCTCACGCAGAACCCTCTCAGCCTGAGGCTGGCGGTCAGCACAGCTGGACAGCCCCAGGCTTCCAAAGATACAGCATGCAGGCAGAGGAGCCTCGGCCCTCTCTGCTCCGTCCCTCTTTCATCCCCCAGGAGGTCAAGCTGTCCATCGAAGGGCGTTCTAATGCAGGGAAGTGATCCCTTTGCAGCTGCGAGCTAGGGCATGCCCTGCAGGTGAGCCTCACCATCAGGTGGAGGAATTGCACGGACTTTGTGACAGGTTCACCAGCGAGGCTGCTTTCTGCCCTGCAGGACTGGATTTATTCCATCCAGTTCAGTGGCTGACCAGTTCCTCTTGGGGAATTGGGAGGGCTCCGGTGCCTCAGGGAGCAGCAACAGGCTAACTGGGGTAGAGAACAGGGGTGTGCTCGCGCGCTTGCGGCGAGGGCGTTCCCGGGGCTGGAGGCTGGGGCTTTCTCACACCGCCCTGAATAACTGAGTCCCTGCAGGGCAGGGCCTGAGCATTCAGGGCAGGTGGGGAGATGAGGAGGGCAGGCACGGCTTAAGGTAGCAGATAAAATTGCTGAAGATTTTATTCCTCCTTTCTCGCGGTGGGGAGAGATGGGTCCCCACTGGAGTTTAGGGGGCTCTACTCCCAGTATCCCTTTTCTTCACACATGCACTTTAAAAGGACCGTTCACCGACGGAGCTCGTGAGGGCGGGACGGAGGTGCTTCTCTGGTGGTTCTGTTTAATGTCTCTTCCACTGAATCCAACTGCTCTTTCTTCTTGCAAAGAATGTACAGATTTGAATGAATCACAGAAATTCAAGAGGAAGGACCAAAAGGATGGGTTGGGGTGTAGGTGAACGGGAAACTTAAGCACTTGGGATGGGACATGAGCTGGGGTGGGTGACATCAGTTTCCTGCTATAAAATACATTTAATTATTTGCCACCAAATCAAATCTTCCCATGTTAATAACTTTAAAAAAAAAAAAATCTCTTGGGCTTATAGCTTTTGCAGAGGCGTAGCCTATGGGTGAATGGGGTTGGGTTTTTTTGGTTGGGTTTGGGTGGTTTTTTCTTCCCTGCAGGCAGTTTCCTGAATAAGCTCGAGACGAGACGAGTGTTTGTGCATGTGCAGGCAAGGTACAAAGTTTCTGCTAAGTACAGTTCTGTGATTACTGTAGGGACTCTCAAAATATCACAACATCATAGGGCATTTTGGGGTGTCTTTGTGTTAGTTTTTCTGATGCTTCACTTCAGAGTTCCTCTGTAGAACAAGGTGGTAAAAGCGGAGTAGTCTTTTTCACAGTGAGATTTAATACAAATGCATATTAATACCTCGTTACGGTAATAACACTCCATTCAAGTGAAGGGTTCTGTAGTTACACTAATTTGCCCTCTCTGATGGTGTGTTATAACACCAGCTCTAGATGCTTAGCTAGAGTAAAAAAATAGTCACTATTATGTTGAGGATAAGAGTCTTCACGGACTTCACTTGGGTTAAGTATTCCTTGTATTACGGTGCCCGTCTCTGTGCTAGGACCAGGCTTTTGAGAGGGTTTCTCTTTGGTGCGAGAGTCCTGATGCTGCTCCCGATGTTCAGCGTACCGCTTTCCCGCTCCCTTCTCTCTTCTTCCCGAAGTTTTCCGTTGGGCATGCCTGGCTTCTAGGGCACTGCTGCTCTCTTCCCCTGGACGGCTTTTGTGCCAGCACCTCTCCTCGGTGCAGCGTCCTTCGGGCAGCTGGCGGTGCTGGTGTCTCGGGGCTGGTCTGCACGCTCTCCGGGAGCGTGTCCTGCAGCGGGTCGGCTTCAGTTGTCTGGGCAATGGGGGGGTGCTCTGCCCTGGGCATTAGGCGAATCAGAGAGTCTCCAGAATGTCCCTTCCTTCCAGCCCATCAGTCCTGTTCTCCTAGCACGTTGCTAGCCATTTCTGTTGCCTTTGAAATGCCTGCACCGGGACAGTTTCTGTTCAGGCCTTAGGTGAGATACGCGCTGCTCATGCCTTCAGTGTTCGTGCCTCGTGGGGTTTTCTCCAGAATGAGGATGCTGCCTGCGTCACACGTAGCTTCCCCCCAGTGACACACTGCTTCTGATCTCCTCAGCTGCATTGCACGTGTGTGACGTCGTGGTGATGCTGTCACGTGAAGATCCTGCCTCCTTGGATGCAGCAGCTGTGGGAACAGATGCCGTTTTCTCGGCACCGTCTGTCAGTAAAATGTCCTGTCTGGGGCCACGTGCCCGGCCTCGTCGCCTGGTGTCTTTCACAGTTGCTGTTCGTTGGACTCTCCTACGCAAAGACCTCGGTTAATGTTGGTTAGTACTCAATGCTCAGGGTATCCAGGGTGTCTGTGGCTGCAGGCAGAGGAGCCCACATTCTCTTGCCTGTTCTTTGCATGGTGCTTGCGGAGGAATTAAGAGCTGTGGCAGGCAGCTGAGGAAGGGTTCTTGCATACGTGTGGCGTGTGAATGTAGGTGGGCTGGTTGCATGCACGGAGGGGACGTCTGAGCAGCTGAAGGGTGCAGAGCCCCTCGTGTGCAACTGCCAACACAGAACTCTGTCTTCTAGAGGGAGGGTTTGGAGGGCCTGCCTTATCTCTGTGTGTTGCTGTAACTGCTGCTGGGTCTCAGCCGCACTGAGCAGTGGGCTGGCCAGGCAGACACTGGTGCGTCAGGCAAGATGCTGTGGCTGAAATAGCTCTGTACTGTAGGCAGGTGCTCGCCCTGGACGTTGGCTGGCTGCAAGGCTGCCGAGCATGGTTCTGAGCTCTGCAGAACAGGCCAGGGTGAATTTGACCCCGGTGCTTCTGCCCAGACTCCCTGTCCGTCCCACTGTTGTGCGTGTTTCAGCTGCCTCCTCTTCTGCGGAAGCAACGGCGTGGGGCACTGAGATGAAGGATCTGGGCATCTGGCTGCTGGCCCCAAAGGCGGTGGGCAGGAGGGGGCCAGGGGCAGCCCCCCAGCCCAGCTTAGCAGTACTCGTGATCACTGGAATCGGTCCTTACTGGGTTGGGCTGTGTTGCTCAGCGCCTGTGGTTGAGTGTTGAGGCTCTTCTGAGATAGGGAGCGTGTGAGACAGGCTCTGCTGCAGGCAGAAAGGCTGTGAGTGAGCCCACGGAGGAGGCTTTTACTTCTTAGATTTACAGGGAAAGGAAGAGATAAAGCCAGGAAGACATTGTGGAATGAGATGGTTATCCAGGCTTTTCTGCTGGCAGAGATGTGACAGGCTTCTCAGAGAAATACACTGTTTTCCTGCTGCTATTGTGAAGGGGAGGAGAGCTGTGGTCTGCCCCGCCCAGAGGAGGAGGAGGAGGCCTCCCAGCCTTGGCCTTCGCCAGCTCGCACAGCCCGCGCTCTGCGGCGGGGGGGGTGGGACGCAGTAACGGGTGTCTGTGGCCAGCTGTCCCGGCTCGTGAGCCATTCCTTGGGTCAGCCGCCCAGCGGAGGCCAGGCCTGCTTCTAGGCTGTGCGTACACCGTTGCTCCAGGAACGGGAGACTTGCTCCAAGCGACGAGCGCTCATCACTACCAGACTATGCAGAGGAAGCTCTGTCTGGAAAGAAGGAAAGCTGCAGAGGCCCCTCTGCCTCCCCTTTCCAGCAGGCGCGCAAGTATAATGCACTTTTCACATTAAGTGTCCCTGCCCCCCATCCCCACCCCACACTTGAAGTCACTTTTCCCTGTAGAGAACTAACAATCCTTGTTACTCAGAAAATATTGTGAAAGAAACTACAGCAGCTTGAGTAGCCCAAATGCTAGTTCCTGCCCACAGCAGTACATGTGCCTTTCCCTAGCATCGCTCACAACTGCTCGTTGTCCTTCGGGCTGTCCTAGGGCCTGAACCTTTGCAGAAGCTGCTAAGACGGCTACGAATGCACGTTCTGTAGAGAGTTTGGCCCAGGGTGTGTTCTGTGTATGGCTTAAAATGCCGATGGTCAAGGCCCTTCCGCGGCCTTCACATCTGTCCATGGAGGACAGCGTTGCCCCCAGCGTCCTCCTCGGCTGCTGCCACCCCACCCTGCAAGCGCCCGTGCACGTTGTCGTCGTTTTCCGCTTTCACGGCGCCTCAGTGCCAGGGTCTGCCCACGCATGGCAGAGGAACGGGCGCGTGGCACCGGGGAACCGAACCGGCTGGGCTGCCCTGCGGCAAGGAGGTCTTTGTAGATAAGTGCTGATCCCTTGACTATAATCCCAGTTATGTAATGGCTGTATTAACATGTAACCGACCGCATTGTATCTAAAGCCTTAGAACTAGTCAGGTGCTCCCCTCCAACCTTGTTCCCGCCCCCTTCCGCCTACCTGATCTCTAACAAAGCATTAATAATTCTAAGGATAATCTCTATTTTGTTGTGCTTTTTTTGTAACTGTTTTAAATAAATCAATTTGTACTGTATATTTGTACTTTTGGTGAGATCCTTTTTCCTGTTTTACCATTTTAAGTCTGTACTTGGCTACACACAGATTGTATTTTTATTGTTAATGCTTTTTTGAATATCCAGTCTCATCAGAGTGATCTGGAGGCTTGTGACAAGGGCGAGGTGAAGGCTGTCTGACAGCTGGATTGTAAGCGCTAACTCTGTGTTCAAATATTTGTGCTTCTATGTAGTCTCTTTCTTGAACCCCTTGGAGTAAGGATCAGGTGCCAGTGACTCTGCAGGGAAAGTTTCAGCTGCGGTTTGCCGATTGCAGCCCCACCTCTGCTAGGCAAGCCAAACACGAGGTAGAGCAAGAGCAAATACTGTGGGGAGCAGACTTTGTCGGTTTGAGCATGAAAATGGACAGAGGTAAGAATAAAAGCGAGAGACCAGTTCAGAGACCAAAGGAGGACAGGAACGAGGTACCACGGAACCGAACAGACCCTTTCCCTTGGTGCCTTTTCCCCAAGTGAGAGAGGCAAGGATGGCTCTCGGACGTCAGTTCTAGGTGACGAGCAGTATGTAGAAATGGCTTCTGTAAGGTGAGGAACAAGACGATGCAGTGGCTCGTGGAGGAGATCATAGTATTGAAAAGATTAAATGCTTTTTGTAGCAAGTGTCCACAAGACTTTAAGGTTAGTTCATTGTCATAAAAAACGGTAACATTATGCACTTTGAAAGCAGCTATTGCAGACATTAACTAGGGCTTTGAGGGACTTCAATCAAAAGTTTTTCAAACTGAGAAAAGAAGGAAAAATCAGGTTTCGAAGTAGTCTGACTG